GGGCCGCTATTGTCTGCGCGGGGCCGGGCGGGGGCTGGGGGCCTGGGAAGCCCTGGGAGCTCCGCCCGCCCGCCCCCGGCCAGCTGACAGCTGGCGGCGCGGCGGCCCCACTGACAGGACACCTTGAGATGGCCCAAAGTTGGCGCGGCCCGCAGCGGCCCCACGTGCGGGCGGCGGACTCAGGCGGGCAGGGCCTGGCCCCGCGCGTCACTGCCGGGAGAAGCCTTGCTTTGGGGTCACTCCCGGGCCCGTGTCCAGGAAGAGGCCGGCCGGGGCCGGGAAGCGTGAAGCAAGTGCCCCCGCGCGCCTGGAGCAGCCAGTCACTTTACGTGCCTCTCGGCTTGACCGTTCGGATTTGACGAAGGAAAACAGAAATTGCAAGTCGCAATTTCAGATGTTTTCCCTAGTGCACTTGCTTTTCCACACTGGAGCTCGCTCGCTTCGTACCTGCTTCCCCTTTGTCCTCCTAGTGTGACCCGCACCTCTACTGCCCGGCAGAGTCGCCTGTGGGGCCGGGCGCTTGGTGCGCCTCTGCCAGCGTCCCGCCGCGCCGTGGGGAGAAGCGTCTGTCGTTTCTGGTGTTAGTAAAAAGGGAAGTTATTTGTTTTGAATTTAGCTCTGGTCGGATTCAGTGCATAGTTTTTAAACCTCTAGACCTTACAGTGAATCTGCTAAAGCGGGGGCATCCTCGTGACTTTTTATATAGAAATATTAACTTTTGTTGTAGTCTCTGTACATGGTGGTGGCAAAATCAAGAGGCTAGGAAGGATTTAGTTGGATTTTTTTAAAGTTATGAATAAGACATATTTCAATTATGAATTAATTACAGTTACTAAGTAAGGTAGTTATCTTGCCAGAGGAAACTTTACAGGATTTTGACTCCCATACTCAGAGGGTTTCAGTGGGGTGTCCATGCAAGGATGCGCACTTCTGTAATCCTTAAACAGATTATGTCTGCTTATCTTTTGCTTTTTCTCAGAAGATCCAGCACAAGTTAGAGAGATTCTGTGAATCTTCAAAAAGTTTCAAGGGCTCCATCCTTTAGGCAGAGGACAGTTTTGTTTTTTTTTTAAGAGACAGAGTCTCATTTTGTAGTCCTCAGTAGAGTGCTGTGGAGTCACAGCTCACCCCAAGCTCCAGCTCTTGGGCTTAGGCGATTCTCTTGCCTCAGCCTCCCAAGTAGCTGGGACTATTATAGGCAGTCACCATAATGCCGCCCAGCTATTTTGTTGTTGTTGCAGTTTGGCTAGGGTGGGGTTCTAACCCGCCACCATGGGTATATGGTGCCAGCACCCTACCTACTTGAGCCACAGGTGATGCCCAGGGCAGAGGCCACTGTTAATCTATGTTAGAAGAAAGCTAACACCTTTGTTCTGGTTAATTCCTGCATGAGGTGGTTGATGTTTTTGGATGTGAAAACTCTACTGTTTAATGTCCACCGGCAGCTCCCGCTCCACTCAAATACACAGGGAATCCCTCAAGTTGTGTGAAGAACACCCCAGTATCTTGGAGAATGGTCTTCAATAAATGGTTAGGGGAGCTGACTGACTTCAAAGGAGCTGACATGCAGTATTTATTTAGTGGAAGAAATGTGTGTATTGCAGGTCCCTGGTGGGCACAGATTTGGAGTGAGGAGCACTGGGAAGAGGAGCCCTGGAAGCATGAGGAACAGTAAGTGGCCGTGGTCAGGGCTGTCCTTCTCTTCACCTTGATTGTGCATTTGCTCTGTGCCTGGCTTCAGCTGCTTTGATTTTTCTTCTAGTCTGGTTCCCTCCTCCTCTGCTGTGATGGTTGTCCTGCGGGAGCAGGTCAAGCTATTGGGCCTCGCTGGGGTGGCAGTAGAACCTAGCTAGCTCTTCCTCACCTGCATTCTGTTTCCCTCTATGTGTGTCTGCTCAGAGAATCAGTGACTGTCATTTCTCTTTGATTGTCAAATCATTTAAAATTTCAGGACTGGAGGATGTAGCTGTAGGATCAGGTCTTACATTTCACTGCATGGAAAATCGGTGTACCTTCAACCTGTACTGTCCTTGAGCACCTTGGTTTGAGCCTTCTGCTTTAGTGTCGGTGGGTTATAGCAGCTTTCCATCATCACCATCCTTCTGAGGCCCAGCTTTCTGCATCCCAGTCTTCTGTATCTTCACTTGCACCCTACTTGTTATTGCCTTGTTCTTCATTCTGGAATGCCTTAGATCACTTATTTGCTAATTATTTGATATGCATTTTTGGTAGTTCAAATTCTGGAAGGCATTGCTAGGAATAAAGAAAATTTCTGAAGCAGGAGAGTAGGCGAGACAGAGGGGGTGAACTGTGCAGGGGCAATGGTGGTTTTTCAAAAAGACCCTGGCCTTGGAGAACATAGTAGTTGAGGTGAGGATCATTGTAAACCAGAGAAAAGGGCCCATTAAGTGCTCCAAGAAAAACTTCTGGTAGATGAGGATGAAGGTGATGCTCAGTTTGAAAAGTGTGCAGGGGAAAACCTTGGAAGGAGGGCATGTTTGAATCTAGCCTTGAAGAGTCTAAGGGCAGCAGGCAGAGTCTCCTGTGGAAGAAGCACCCATGTGGTGCAGGCTGGCCAGCTGCACAGCTACATGTTTGTTGGTAAAGCCACGTCCCCAGCTCCTCAGGAATTGTTTGAAGGATTTGGTGTATTGAAAGTGCTGGACCCAGCACCTAGTGAGGGTGCTCTGCTTCTGATCTCACTGCAGCTGAAGGACTTTCAGCTAGCAAAGTCTGTGTAAAATAAGAACATCTGATACTGGGTGGCACCTGTAGCTCAAGTGGCTAAGGCCAGCCACATACACCAGAGCTAGTAGGTTCAAATCTGGCCCAGGTGGGCCAAACAATGACAACTACAACCAAAAAATAGCCCAGCGTTGTGGAGGGTGCCTGTAGTCCCAGCCTCTCGGGAGACTGAGGCAAGAGAATTGCTAAAGCCCAGTAGTTTGAGGTTGCTCTGAGCTGTGAGGCCACAGCACTGTACTGAGGGCTATAGCTTGAGGCTCTGTCTCAAAAAAAAAAAAAAAAAAAAATCTGATACTGGCTTGTGACTAGAGGTGGGGCTGGGTCCCTGCCTGCCAGCCCACCAGGGTGTTCTGTGTGGTTGCTGCAGCCACCCAGCATTGTTCTGGGTGGGAAGACCTGACCCCTTGGAGCTGTAGACTGGCTGACCCTGGACTTGCTCTGTCCTCCTGCCTCATGACCTCCACAGATGTAACCCTGAGGGGCCCCTTCATTCCAGAATGAAACTTTTCCCCCAAAGCTGCTGCCAGTTGACGCTCACTTGGTAGTCTCTGCTTCACCTGCTCACTGCAGAGAGAGCAGAGTCTATGTGCTGTGCTGGGAGTGCTGCAGTTCCTATGTCACAAACCACGTTCCACATCCTGGAAGAGAGAGGCTATTCCAGCAGCTTTCAGTCACAGCGTTGATTTCAGGCTGGTCACTGGTGGGAATGTCTGGACCCCAAAGGAAAGGGTAAGTGTCCAGAGTGCTGGTGTTAAGTATAAGGGACTCACAAAAAGAGTGATCAGAACAATCCATAGAGCCCTGGTATGTGACCCAGAACGTTTCAGGGACAGAACAGGGATCAACTGACTTTAACATGGTCTGTTTGCTGCTTTGGAATGTGCTTTGTTTCTAAGAGAGCCTTATCAGGGTTTCTGACCACATCTCATGGAAATAGCTCTGGTTCTAAGTTTCTGAAGTTTAACCCTTTGCTTTTATCTTTGAGCTCCCCATATCAGTTTAGCCCAGTCCTGGATGATAGTTTTTCTTTGTGTGGGCACAGTGGCTCTTACTGCAATTTCTAGTTTTGAGGCAGTTGATGGCTGTTTCTATCCCTAGGATGTGCTAGTTATGGCTGTGCCCCTCAGAGTGTTAAAATTACTCTCAGGTGTAGACCAGATCTTCGTTTGTATCTTCATCTTCCCATTTGAACCAGGCCCAGAGTCTGACTTCAAGCTCTTTGCTTCCTGGGTGTGCTTGACAGCTCGCTGAGGGCCTGTGTGCTCAGAGTGAAAAATGAGGACACTTCAGTTTTTAAAGGTTATTTTATGAACTTTCTAACTTACACTCTTCTGTGCTCTTCTCTGAGACAGAGCCTCAAGTACCACCTGTCAGAGGCTTGCCAGGCCTTTGACCTTTTTTGAAGGAAATGGCAGATATCGGGACACTTCACCTCTAAATGTCCTTTCTTCCCAAGAGAAGGGAAAGGACTTTTTTTTTTTTTTTTCTGAGACAGAGCCTCAAGCTGTCGCCCTGGGTAGAGTGTCATGGCATCACAGCTCACAGCAACCTCTAACTCCTGGGCTCAAGCGAGTCTCCTGCCTCCACCTCCCAAGTAGCTGGGATTACAGGCACCCGCCACAACGCCCGGCTATTTTTTGGTTGCAGCCATCATTGTTGTTTGGCGGGTCCGGGCTGGGGATTCGAACCCGCCACCTCAGGTGTACGTGGCTGGTGCCTTAGCCGCTTGAGCCACAGATACCGAGCTGGACATTCTTCTCAGTAATTACAATGCTGCCTGAGAAATGTTAACAGCACCCCTTGGTATCATTCACTGGCCCATCAACAGTCAGGTCCCTATCTGTCCCCAGAATGCCTGAGTAGCTGCTTTTTCTGAGGTAGACTCTAGGATAGGGCCACATATCACATGATGGGTGGCACGTTTGGGGCATGTTCATGCGGGTGATACAGTGTGCTTTGGGTTGCACTGACCTTGCAGACTGTCCCCCCTGGGCCTGGGGGATTTAAATGTACTCCTTTTAAATGTACTTCCCATCCTTAGTTAGCAGGTCATCTCTGGGGGGGTTTGGGGACCTGTGAACACCCTGCTCCCATACCATTCCATGTTCTATGATTGTTGGTATATTTCAGAACTGAAATGCTATTGTTCCTTCTTTATCTGTTTCCCTCATTCTTATAAAGACTGGACAGCCTAGCACGGTGTGCATACCTGTGGTCCCCACCACTTAGGAGGCTGAGGCAGGAAGATTGCTTAAGCCCAGGAATTTGAGGTTACAGTGAGCTATGATTGTGCCACATTGCACTCCAGCCTGAGCAAGAGAGTGAGACCCTGTCTCTTAAGCATTTGTCCCTTTATTTTTTTTCTTACCCTTTATTACCAATTTTCAGGTGAAGACAATTGGTATAATAGTCACCTCCATTGTGGCAGATGTTTTTAATTTTTGATTAATCATTTTTTATTTATTCAATATGCCATAATCTGTTTAGTCTTATTCTGTGATGGTCAAATGTGACCGACTGGGAGCCCTTCCAAGCTGGCTTCTCTGTCCTTTTCACTTTGTGTGTCGTTCTTGGAGCAGGTTGTTTCTGGCGCAGCATCCCAGGCTCCCCTTTGCTTTCCTTTCCAGCCCTGTGGGCAGCCATTTCTCCAGAGTGCTAGATTCCTTTAGTGCAGAAACCAATATCTAGGCATAGATGTGTTTATTGCATTTGTGAGGAGGATGGAGCTAGGAAATACATTTTTAAAACTTTGTAAGCTCATACTGGTATTTTCAAATACATATTTAAAATTATATAGTTTTAGCTAATTTCTCTTTTAAAATTTATTTTTCTTATCCTGAAAATCTTAATTCTTAATACCATTGGCATATTTGTTTTATGCTAAAATATACCTAAAATAGGTTGTGAAATTATGGTATTATTTTACTACTAATAAAACTACTTAGCAAATTTTATGATTTGTTTGTTTGTTGAGACAGAGTCTTACTTTGTCATCCTTGGTAGAGTGCTGCAGCATTACAGCTCACAGCAACTTCAAACTCTTGGGCTCAAATGAGTCTCTTGCTTTAGCTTCCTGAGCAGCCAGGAACACAGGCACCTGCCACAACACCCAGGTATTTCTAAAGACAAGGTCTTGCTCTGGCTCAGGTCAGTCTCGAACCCATGAGCTCAGGCAATCCACTCACCTCTGTCTCCCAACTGGTAGGATTACAAGTGTGAGCCACCTTGCCCAGCCCTGTTTTTCAATTCTTTTTGTCCTTATTTGTATTCCACTTAGGATGAATAAAAGACTGTGCTTAACGTTTTTATTTTTATGTACAAAATAGGGACATGGTTCAAAGGTCCAAACTGTATCCACTATATGAAAGACATCTTTCCTATGTCCTCCACACTTCTGTGCAGGCATTTTTACTTCTACTTTATCCTGCAAAACAGGGAGGCACACACCACTAGCCCCTCTCCTATCAGGAGAGGTAGCAAGTCTGTTCACACTGTTGGTGTCCAGTTTTCATTCAGGGCCTCTGTGGATGGACATCATTTTTCTGCTGTGACTGACAAGTGTTGCCTTGTGTTTGGTGAGGGCTGTCTGCTCCTAGGAGGTCGGTGAAGTGTCGTGTTGGAGAGTGTTTCCTAGTCCTGTCTGTGGGCTTGCACCCCTGTCAGCATGGGGTAGAGGGCTTCACTACCAAAGAGTGTTACTAAGCATTTGTGTGTTTGCCAGGGTGATAGGGTGAGAACTGTTATCTTGAAGTTGTTTTCATTTAATTTGCTTTAATCTGAAAATGAAAAAATATACTTTATGAAATTGGATATATGAGATGAGCATTTAAGATTGTTAAAAGTGAGTTGATAAATATTTGAAAGACCCTGAGTGTGATGAGCCACTGCAGAGTGAGCACTGGAAACACCACTCCTGAGACTGCATTCTGAGAATTACACATTGTAGTAGTTTGGAAGGTAATTTCTTTGAGCTTTTTGTTTGTTTATTTCTTTATTTTTTTGGAGACAGGCTGTTGGCTATTGTTGGTTAGTGATGTCTCTCAATAAATGTCAATTAAGTCATTTTTGATAGTAGTGATAATAGTGTTTAAATCTTTACTGATTTTTCTGTCTGCTGTTCAATGGGTGTGTTGGAATCTCTATTTATCATTGTGAACTGGTGCAGTCTCTGTTTAGTTCTACCACCTGCCTCGGCCTCCCAGGGTGCTGGGATTACAGGCATGAGCCATCATGCCTGGGCTTATATTTCTAATTCTCATTGTCTATATGATTCTTTTCCAAATATGGTTTCTCATTTTCTCCAGTCTATTTTTTGCTTATTTTTCTTTGTTTTGTGTATTTTGGCTTTAAAAAGCATTTTATGTATATACATATATAATTACACATATGAGATATATATAATATTTTAAGAAATTAATTACATATAATTTGTATCTTGTATATGGTAATTCTAGTAAATGAAGTCCTTAGTGTTTTAAATCTGTTGTTTGTTGATTTTGCTGACTTTCATGGTGGCTTATTTCCTTACGTATTTTTGTTTTGTTTTGTTTTTTGGAACAGACTTTCACTATGTTGCCCTCAGTAGAGTGCAATGGTATCATAGCTAATAGCAACTTCAAACTCTTGGGCTTAAGTGATTTTCTTGCCTCAGCCTCCCGAGTAGGTGGGACTGCAGGCGCCCGCCACAACACCTGGCTGGTTTTTTTTGTTGTTGTTGTTGCAGTTGTCATTGTTATTTAGCAGGCCCAGACTGGGTTTGAACCCACCAGCCTCAGTGTATGTGGTCAGCGGCCTATCACACTGTGCTACAGGTACCAAGCCTGATATTTTATTTTGATGCCAGTTTTTTTTTTTTTTTTTTTTGTTTGTTTTTTTTTGAGACAGAGCCTCAAGCTGTCCCCCTGGGTAGAATGCCGTGGCATTACAGCTCACAGCAACCTCCAACTCCTGGGCTCAAGCGAGTCTCTTGCCTCCGCCTCCCAAGTAGCTGGGACCACAGGCGCCCGCCACAGCGCCCGGCTATTTTTTTTTTTTTTTTTTTTTTTTTGGTTGCAGCCGTCATTGTTGTTTGGCGGGTCCGGGCTGGGGATTCGAACCCGCCACCTTAGGTGTACGTGGCTGGCACCTTAGCCGGTTGAGCTATAGGTGCCGAGCCGATGCCAGTTTTTTATTTCAAGTTTTTTATCTGGCTAAACTTTGTGGAATTTACTATTAGGAATGCTTTTAGTTGGGCACAGTGATTGATGCCTATAATTCTACCACTTTGGAGGGTTGAGGCAGGAGGGTCACTTGAGGCCAGGAGTTTGAAAGCAAGAATGCTTTCTTTCTCTGAAACGACCTTTCTTTTTCTGAAACAACCTTCAGGCTTGGCACCCATAGCTTAGTGAGTAGGGCGCCGGCCACATACACCAAAGCTGGGGGTTTGAGCCCAGCCCAGGCCTGCTATAACAATGACAACTGCAACCAAAAAACAAAAATAGCCAGGCATTGTGGTGAGTGCCTGTAGTCCCAGCTACTCTGGAGGCTGAGGCAAGAGAATCGCTTAAGCCCAAGACTTTGAGGTTGCTGTGAGCTGTGATGTCACAGCACTCTACCCAGGGTGAGATAGTGAGACTCTGTCTCAAAAAAAGAAACAAACTTCATTTGCTTCTGGGGAAATCTAGTAGTTTTTATTAACCTGAGAACATTTCACAGGGTGACCATCAATCTTTGTTTGTCTCAGACAGATTTGGTTTACGCCTGTTATCCCTGCAATATTGTTGATAGTGCTTCCTTTCCCTCTCTGTTACCAGTGTCTGGAAAATAACTTATGTGGTGACCTCATGACCTTGGTTGCTGCCCAGTTGAGGAGCGTCAGGTTGGTGGTGGCCTGATGTTGGTCTCAGTGCGTGTTGCCTTTGGACAGCTTCTGTTTGCGTAGCTGGTTGTGGCTCTGCTCATGTCTCCCTTCATTTGCTACTCACTGTCCCTTGAGAATTCTTCCACTTTCTTATATGCACAGTAATACATTAAAAATAAGTTTATTGGGGCCAGGCAATAAACGGTGGCTCACACCTGTAATCCCAGCACTCTGGGAGGCCGAGGCAGGTAGATTGCCTGAGCTCACAGGTTCAAGACCATTCTGAGCTAGAGTGAGATCCCATCTCTAAAAATAGCCAGGCTTTGTGGCCGGGTGCTAGAGTCCCAGCTACTGGGGAGGCTGAGGCAGGAGAATCACTTAAGCCCAAGAGTTGGAGGTTGCTGTGGCACTCTACCAAGAGCAACAAAGTAAGACTCTGCCTTAGGAAAAAAAAAAAAAGAAAGAAAAAGTGTATTGGGTGGTTTGAGTGCAGTGGTATTTATAACTGACTGATGACAACCAGTCACAGATTCCTTTATTCTCTACTCCTGCTCCTTCACTTGACTAGACTTAAAAGAAAATAAGTTTGTTGCAAGTTTTCTAGAGTCAAGTTTTATTATGCTGAAGCACTTTTACAGTACTTATGTTGCGATATTACCACATTGGTTGCTTTATTTATTTTCTGCTTACTCTGTCACCCAGGCTGGAGTTCAGTAGCATCATCACAGCTCACTGCAGCCTTGAACTCCTGGGCTCAAGTGATCCTCCTGCCTTAGTCTCCACACTACAGGTGTGCACCACCATGCCCAGCTAATATTTTTTGGGTTTTGTAGAGATGGAGTCTTGCTAGATTGCTCAGGCTGGTCTTGAGCTCCTGGCCTCCAGCAATCCTCCCCAAGTGCTGGATTGCAGGTGTGAGCCACCATGTGTGCCCAGGCCTTTTTCATTAAACCGCTCTACTGCAGCTCCATACACCTCATCATCCTTCACTGTTCCTGTTCTGAGTCCTGTCCTGCTCTTTCGTGCACTCATAACATGGCCTACTTTCACTTCTAGCATTTACTGTAGTTAAAAATCTCATAGTTCCTGGCAATTGTTGTCTGTGGTGTGGACTGCAAGGCAAAGGCCTGCGCCTGTCTCTCCACAGTCACCTGGCACAGTGTCACTCGGGGGGACCTTTGGAAGAGAGAACAGAAAAGTTGGGCTTTACTTTTGTGGGACTTTCATCCGTTCTTAGATGCAGGGAGTCATCATTGATTTTTTACATTCAGTTATTAGTCTGAGTTTGATTTCATAGGTTCTTACAGCAGGTAGAATGGCTTGGTTTTGAGGAATTGAGCTTCGCTGACTGCAGCAGCTGTAGGTACCTGTGGTAAATGGTTTGAAGGGTGAGGGCATAAGCTTCTGATGAAAATAACCTCCTTTACCATTGTTTGTTCTAATTTATGTTCCCCTAGTACATTACTAATTGATAATTTGCATTTGAATTCATATTTTTACTTTTTGCTTATTTAGCAGTATTAGGATATTTTCATGATGTAAGTGGATTGCTGAAAGTCAGGGGCTGAGTTTTTCTATTCCAGTATTCCATTATAGACTTTATAAGAGGCTGATATATCCATAATAGAGTCAATTTAAAATGTGTGATTTAGCTCTGTGTTTCATCTGATTTCATCTTTTATAGGTAATGCAAAAGGACCATGTATGTGCTATCAAGATGGCAGGCATCCTGTGTTTAAGACAAGAAACAAGTCTCCACTGCGTATATTTATGTCTACACAATGAAATATTTAGTAGCAGAACTCCTGGAAAGCAGTGATGTGTGCTCTAAGATGATTTGCTTATATGAGCTACATGGTCTACTTTTCAGTAATATTTATAATCAGCCATATTCATAGGAATACCCTGAAAGATGAAATTATTCTGAGAAAGTGAAGATATTCTACATTTGGGGGCACAAATGAGCATTTGGATCAATTTTCTATTAACCTAAGATGATATTAACATGATGAAGCAGCCAGAATAGTTATGGTCAGTCATGGAGAATAACCTGGAAACTAGTCCCAAAGGGGATAGTGATTTTATTTCTGATAAAATACATTTTAAAATTGAAGATGATGATGAACCAATTCCTACTCATAGTTTGGAAAGAGTGGACTTTAAGCAAGAACAAGAGAGCCTGAAGCAGGCAGACAGCGGCGATGAGCATGCCGAGACCAGAGAGACGGGCTGCCCCTGTGAGCCTCCCCGGAAGTGCCTCTCTGCCGAGAGCGAGGATGACTACGGGTCTCTGTTCTCCCGGTACAGCAGCACGCTGTATGACGCAGCGATGGAAGCTGTGACTCAGAGCCTTCTCTCCAGCCGGAACATCAGCTCCAGGAAGAAATCGCCAGCTTGGAAACACTTTTTTATTTCTCCTCGGGATAATACTAAAGCAATATGTATGTACTGTATGAAAGAATTCAGCAGGGGTAAAAATGAGAAAGACTTAAGTACCAGCTGTCTCATGAGGCACGTGAGGCGGGCACACCCCACCGTGCTCATTCAAGAGAACGGGAGCATCTCTGCTTCGTCCCCCTTTCCTTCTCCTCCACTCCTGCTTCCGCCACAGCCTGCAGATGCAGGAGACCTCAGCACCATACTCTCACCCATCAAACTCGTCCAGAAAATGGCACCTACCATCCCATCCCCTGATCGGATAACAGAGGAATCTGTATCTGTAGTTTCTTCTGAAGAAATCTCCTCTGACATGTCTGTTTCTGAGAAGCACAGCAGAGAAGAAGCCCTGGTGGGGTCATCGCCCCACCTCCCTATCCTCCATTATGACGAAACTGCAGAGAACATAGCAGAGAAAAACCTTCCACTCCCCAAGAACACCTCGGGGTCCAGAAGAAGGTCTGCTGTCTGGAAGCACTTCTACCTGTCACCTCTGGACAGCTCCAAGGCCGTCTGTGTCCACTGCATGAACGAGTTCAGCAGGGGGAAAAACGGGAAGGACCTGGGCACCAGCTGTCTCATCAGGCACATGTGGAGGGCACATCGCTCCATCGTGCTGCAGGAAAATGGGGGCACTGGCATCCCACCCCTGTATTCTGCTCCTCCCACCCTGCTGCCTGCCCTGCTGCCAGAGGGGGATCTGAGCTCTGTGTCATCATCTCCAGGAAAACTGGTCAGAGAGTTCCCTTCTGCCTCCTCCTCCCCTGATCGGCTGGCTGAGGACCTGCCACCGCACTTGAACCCCGGAGATGCCCTGATGGAAGCTGTATCAGTGTTGTCATCCTCCGATGATATTGGGGAGGCCTCTGTGTCCTCTCCTGAAAAGCAGCAGCCCCATGGATTGAGACCTAGAATGTTTGAATCTGGTGCTGTCTTCCAGCAGAATAAAAAGGTCATGAAAAGACTGAAGTCAGAAGTTTGGCATCACTTTTCTTTGGCCCCCATGGACAACCTCAAGGCAGTATGCCGATACTGCAGTTGTGTCATCAGCCGGGGGAAGAAGGGAGACGTGGGCACAAGCTGTCTGATGAGACACTTGTACAGACGCCACCCTGAAGTCGTCGGGAACCAGAAGGGCTTTCTAGGTGCAAGTTTGGCAAATTCTCCATATGCCACTTTGGCTTCTGCAGAAAGTTCTTCCTCTAAATTAACTGACTTGCCAACAATGGCCACAAAAAATAATCAGGTTATGTTTCCTGTTAATAGCAAAAAGACCTCAAAGCTGTGGAATCACTTCTCTGTTTGTTCTGCAGACTCCACTAAGGTTGTGTGCTTACACTGTGGCCGGACAATAAGCAGAGGCAAGAAGCCCACCAACCTGGGTACCAGTTGTCTCCTAAGACACTTGCAGAGGTTCCACAGCAGCGTGCTGAAGACCAGCGTCTCAGAGACAGTGCGGCCCTCTTCCCCGGCCATCCGTGTGCCGCTGAACACAGAATTGTCAGGAGCTTCCTCTTTTGATGACACCAATGAGAAGTTTTATGATTCTCACCCAGTTGCCAAAAAAATCACTAGTCTCATAGCTGAAATGATCGCACTTGACCTTCAGCCATATTCCTTTGTAGACAATGTTGGCTTTAACAGGCTGCTTGAATACTTGAAACCTCAGTACTCCCTGCCCTCCCCATCTTACTTCTCCAGGACGGCCATCCCAGGTATGTATGATAATGTGAAACAAATAATTATATCACATCTGAAGGAAGCTGAGAGTGGCGTGATCCACTTCACTTCTGGAATATGGATGAGCAACCAGACCCGAGAGTACCTGACCCTTACGGCTCACTGGGTCTCTTTTGAGTCGTCAGCCCGCCCCCAGTGTGGGGACCACCACTGCTCAGCCCTTTTAGATGTATCACAGGTTGACTGCGACTACAGCGGCAATAGCATTCAGAAGCAGCTAGAGTGCTGGTGGGAGGCCTGGGTGACTTCCATTGGCCTTCAGATTGGCATCACAGTAACTGACAATCCGAGTATAGGAAAGACGCTGAATGAAGGGGAGCACACGAGCGTGCAGTGCTTCAGCCACACAGTCAACCTGATTGTGAATGAGGCCATCAAGAGCCAGAGGATGGTGCAGAACTTACTGAGCATTGCACGGAAGATATGTGAACGGGTACATCGGTCACCCAAAGCAAAAGAGAAGCTAGCAGAGCTGCAGAAGGAATACGAGTTGCCACAGCACCATCTTATCCAAGATGTTCCATCCAGATGGAACACGTCATTTCACATGCTTGAACGACTCATTGAACAAAAAAGGGCAATTAATGAGATGTCAATCGAGTGTAACTTCAGAGAACTGATCAGTTGTGACCAGTGGGAGGTCATGCAGTCTGTGTGTCACGCACTGAAGCCTTTTGATGCTGCGAGTCAAGAGATGAGCACCCACATGTCCACACTAAGCCAGGTCATCCCCATGATCCACATCCTCAACAGGAAGATCGAGATGCTCTTTGAGGAGACGATGGGCATCGACACCATGCTGAAGTCCTTGAAGGAAGCCATGGTGAGCCGGCTGTCTGCCACCCTCCACGACCCTAGGTACATCTTTGCTACACTGTTGGACCCTCGTTACAAAGCCTCCCTGTTTACAGAGGAGGAGGCGGAACAGTACAAGCAGGATTTAATCAGGGAACTAGAAATATTGAATTCTACCTCAGATGACACACCTGCCTCCAATGGGTGTGATGCAGGTTCCCCATCGAAAGACTGCGCTGGAGAGGAGGACCTGTGGTCACTCATGGCCAAGATGAAGAAGAAAGGTCTAAGAGACAAGCTGCCTGAAGACATGGTGCTTGCGTACTTGGAGGAGGAAGTGCTTGAACACAGCTGTGACCCACTCACCTACTGGAACCTGAAGAAGGCATCCTGGCCAGGGCTGTCTACTTTGGCCGTCAGATTTTTGGGCTGTCCCCCAAGTATTGTCCCTTCAGAAAAGCTGTTCAACACACCCACTGAGAACAGTAGCTTTGGCCAGTCTAGGCTCCTGATGGAACATTTTGAAAAACTTATCTTTTTAAAAGTGAATCTTCCCTTAATATACTTTCAGTATTGAAGCTCACGATGGAGCCACCTGACTAAAGATGTTGTTGCTTTGTAGGCATTAGCAGTTGGTACCAGGGGCTGTGACTCTGCCCAGGGCCACGTGCGGCATCAGCCAGGCACTCTCAGGGCCGCTCTCAGCTCTCACCGTGACGTCTGCAGGTGCCTTACTCCCACTCCTTCAGGCCAGGTATCGCGGTGTGTTTTTTAAGACATCCGCTAGAAATAGCTTGTCTTGTCAACTATGAAATATGATGACTGGGTTTTAATTCATAACTGTAAAGTTTTTTTAAAGTTGGGGTTTAGTAATTTGTTTTACTAGAATGGCAGAAAAGATGTAAATAATTTTATTCTGTAGGCTTTTTACTCAATTATGTAAAAACCACAAATCAGGTACTGTATTTTAGTTAAACATTGCTTTAATTGCAACAAAACAGCTTTTGTGGCTGTCAGATGAAATCTGTAAATAGGAGGTGGAGATCAAGCCATCACTGAGCAGTTTTTAACTGCAGGCTCTAAAGTGTGTCAAGGAGTATAGGGAATATTCTGGAAGGTAACTGTTTACTACAACAGAGACGTGGCATTTGAAAACAAAAGTAAACGTGGCTGTGTCATGGACTGTTAGTTATGTGGTGACTTGGTAATGAGAATTTCCCATTTCAGGTTTTTGCATTCAGGTTTCACACTTAACTCAGAGAGATCTCAACTATTTATCATGAGCTCCTTCAAAATTTAATCCAAGTCTGTAAATTCCTGCTTATTGTTTAGCCAGTGCATAATAGGACATGTTTACAGCAGTTGGCCCACTGCTGAATCTCCATGCCTCTGATTTAGTGTCTCTACGCTAGGATGCTATCTTAAAGATGTGTGCACTGACCCCCTTGTTTGATCAAATTATGTGTAAAGTTCTTTTTAGAAGAGATGGCTTATTAACAGGGATGAAGCTCACTATTACAGTTATAAGAATAGCCTTAGGTGTTTAGATTTCTTTTTATGATAGGGAAGACTCAGCCATCACTGGGGTATTTTAGAACCCCAAGGATTTCAGAATGAAGTATCAGTTGTCAGATTCTTTTAACAATTATATCTTCAGAGTTTTTGCTTTATCTTAAACAAGGTTAAGTTTCTCATTTCAACCCCATTAAATCATCTGGGTGAGACAGATCACTCATTTACTTATGACTCTTTAGAAAAGTTGTTTTGTTAAAATACTGTACCTATGCTTAATCTAAAGTTTCATCAACTGTTTTGGTGTATTTATAAATGGTGAACTCAGTTTTTGAAATTAAACTTTTTATTTGGAATTTCTAGCCCTGGCAGACACTGTATTTTATTTTTAGGGTAATAAAACAGGCACAGTCTTTGTGGACCAATATCTAGAAAACATGCTTATGTAGCATTTAAAAACTTTCACTTCAACCCACATAGGGATACTGGCAAAGTAGTGGTGTGATTCTCACAGTAGCCAAATGAGAACTTTCCAGGTCTTATGCCTCAAATGAGTGTTGTTACTAGTGTGGTGCCCAGAGGGCAGCTGCAGGGGTGGCCGTACTCTCTCCCGAGTAACTGTGCAGGGGGCTGATCAGGTGCGGGGAGGAGGTGCGGGGTTTCATGGCCATGGTCTGGCCAGCAGCTCTGGCAGCTGTCTTTGGGAAGGGAGAGGCTATGGACTAGGGGGAGGGGTGACATTTCATGCTCAGGCTTGGCCATGGCCAGCCTGCAGCCCTGTATTTCTTAGGATTGCATTTGGAACGGTGATAACCTTAGAATCCTGGGATCTCAAGCTTCATGACTTTGCCCTTTGAGTCAAGTCAGCATAACTCACTGGCAGAAAAGCATCCAGTCCATCCTTGGACAGCAGTGGCATGCCTCCTTTCTCCAGGGACCTGGGTGCTGCAGACTCAGCCCTGCTCACAGGGACATAGTCTAGGCCCCATCTGGCACTCTGCTTGGTTTCTTAAGTGAACTTTTTCTCAGAATATACAGCCATTCACGTGCCTGTTGTTTGTGCCTGCCGTCACAGAATCAAGTCACTGTGGATGAGTCACAGGCTGTGGTGCGGGAAACACCATCTAACCCTTTCAAAACAAGTTCATCACCCAGTTCACTCAGTTGTCGTCTGCTGGGTGAGCACAGTGGGCCAGGTCTCCTGTGAGCAGCAGGGCAGCCCCTCTGCTCAGCACTGTGCCCCAGGGAAGGCTGGTGTTCTCCCCCCAACCCACTTCTGTCCCTTCCCGCCGCCTCTTCCCAGTGAGCCCACCCTATGAGTCAGTGTTGCTGTGCTTTCTTGAAGTTTGTTGGCGGCCAGAGGAAACCCCCATTTGCCAGCCACAGATTACAGACAAGTATAGTCTCTCCTATACAAGACTTGGGGGCCAGAGGAGGTGTGAGGGCTCTGTGATGACAGTATCTTGGCCCTCGATTTTCACTCAGGCACCATTATAAGCATTCAGAAATATCTGTGGCTAATGCTCCTCCCTTGAGAGTCTCTTCCTTTAAGAAATAAAAGCTTTGGCTCGGCGCCTATAGCTCAACTGGCTAAGGCGTCAGCCACGTACACCTAAGGTGGCGGGTTCGAATCCCCAGCCCGGACCCGCCAAACAACAATGACGGCTGCAACCAAAAAATAGCCGGGCGTTGTGGCAGGCGCCTGTGGTCCCAGCTACTTGGGAGGCGGAGGCAAGAGACTCGCTTGAGCCCAGGAGTTGGAGGTTGCTGTGAGCTGTAATGCCACGGCACTCTACCCAGGGGGACAGCTTGAGGCTCTGTCTCAAAAAAAAAAAAAAAAAAAAAAAAAAGAAATAAAAGCTTTTGGCTTGGTGCCTATAGCTCAGTGGTTAGGGCGCCAGCCATATACCCTAGAGGTGGCGGGTTCAAATCCAGCCCAGGCCTGCCAAACAACAATGGCAATTACAACAACAAAATAGCCAGGCATTGTGGCAGGCACCTGCAGTCCAGCTACTTGGGAGGCTGAGGCAAGAGAATCGCTTAAGCCCAAAAATTTGAGGTTGCTGTGAGCTGTGACATCAGAGCACTCTACTCAGGGCAGCAGCTTGAGACTGTCCCCACCCCCCTTCCCCCAAAAAAGAAATAAAGACTTTTCTGGAATGTCCCAGCAGCCCCCGTTTGGCTGAGGTGGGTCACAGGGGCTATTTTTAGTGTCTTCCCATGGAGGTACGTGAGGGAGGAGGGGGCCACGTGCCACGTAGCCCCAGCCTGCACCGAGGGGCTGTCATTCCCTGCTGGTCCCACATCCCACTGCCATAGCAGCCTCACAGCACAGGCTCCCTAGTCTTCTGTTCTGTGGACTGGGCCTATTGTCTCTCTGCCATGACCACAGCATCCTGGAATTTATAGCATCAGAGAAATCTGGATATCCTCCCCTCTTCTTTTAAAACTTACCTTGGTACTTTATCTTCTGAAATTTTTAATACCAGTGGCCAAATTCTGACAGTATTTTGATTGAAATCACATTAAATTTATCGCTCAATTTGGGACACATAGTTTCATTATGAGGCTATAGATGCTTAGATAGTGAGCTCTTTAGTTTAATACTGGCCTCTGCAAACATGGTGGTTGGCTTTTGCTCCAGTACTGGCAGCGGGGTCTTTAGGACTGGCCCCTCCCAGAAGGCAACACAGGAAGATAAGGAAATTCCAGATGAGTGGAGGGCCTGAGAGGTCAGTGCTGCTACCCTGGCCATATTATCTTCATTTTTTTAAAGGAGTTGTCATGGTCCAGCTATTTCAGTAGAAATTCCTATGGGCAGATAGTTTTGGTGGGGGTTTTTTTGGTGACAGTCTCACTGTATTACCCTTAGAGTGCTGTGGCCTCACAGCAACCTCAAATTCCTGAACTCAAGTGATCCTCTTGCCTCAGCCTCCTGAGTAGCTGGGACTATAGGCTTCCACTATAACACCTGGCTAGTTTTTCTATTTTTAGTAGAGATGGGGTCTTGCTGTTGCTCATACTGGTGGTCGAACTCCTGAGCTTAGGCAGTCCACCAGCCTCAGACTCCCAGAGTGTTGGGATTACAGGCGGGAGCCACTGCACTTGGCCAAGTGCATCTAGTTTTAATAAAATATGTATCCAAACTAGTTTTTAAAAATAATTTTATGTTAAAACAATCTCTGGGCCCACTAAACAACAATGACGGCTGCAACCAAAAAATAGCCGGGCATTGTGGGGGGCACCTGTAGTCCCAGCTACTTGGGAGGAGGAGGCAAGAGAATTGCTTGAGCCCAGGAGTTCGAGGTTGCTGTGAGCTGTGATGCCATGGCACTCTACCCAGGGCAACAGCTTTAGGCTCTGTCTCAAAAAAAAAAATCTCTATCTTACAGTAGCATATAAAAACCTTTTTTTTCTAGAACCATTTGAGAGCAAGTTGCCAACCTGATGCCCATGGCCCCCTATCCCCTCCACACCAAACATCCTCTTTCCCAAGCACAACCCACCATCAAACCGTGGAAACTCACCTGGTGTTGTGTCAGCAAACACTGAGACAAGGTAGCAGTGTGAGAGGAAGCAGAAGGGGCAGGGAGAAGCCTTGGACACACACAAGAATGGCAACACCAGGCCCCAGGCCTTAACTTGTGTCGCTGGCGTCTGCGGCAGGGCTGCAGCAGAGCTTGAATAGGGCTGCATCTGGAAGCTGTTGGGCACATCTGCTTCCCTCCATGGAGCTCCAGGCCCTGGTCCATGCAGCATGTGACAATGGGTTGCCCTGACAACAGGTTTCCAGCACAAGCATTCGGCTCTGAAACTTGGGCTGAATTAATGTATATATCTCTGATTTCCTCCAGTTAGAACATTCCTCAGTTTTCCTCTGGTTTCTGTCACTTTAGCGTTCTTGATAAGAACAGGCCAGTCATTTTGTGGAGTGTCCCTCAAGTGGGCTGGTCTAGTGTTGTGTCAGTTAGATCAGGGTCATGCATCTTTGGCAGAACATCACAGAAGTGATGCTGTGTTCTCTGTGCCCTGCCAGGGGCACATGGGCTCCCTTTCCTCCATAACCTCTTCGTGCACTTGGTTAAGGTGGTGTTGGCCAGGCTTCTCACTGTGAAGTTAAGTTTCTCTTTGTTGAAAAATAAATTTTATAGGGCTGTACCTGTGGATCAGTGAGTAGGGCTCCGGCCCCATATACCAAGGGTGGTAGGTTCAAACCCAGCCACTTGCAGTATATGTGGGTTACTGTGAGCTGTGACGCTACAGCACTCTACCAAGGGCAACAAAGTGAGACACTGTCTCTAAAAAAAAAAAAGAATTGAATAAATAAATAAATTTTATAAATGCTCTTTGAGAAAATGTAAATATATCATTCTTCACAAAACTTCATGTATTTTCATTAGTAGAGATTAAGGGTTTCCAATGTCATTTATGAGTTATCTGTTACTATCATTTTGCTCAGATTTCCAGATTTGGCCAGTGGGGGCTCCTCAATCTGCTTTTCATGTCCTTGAATGCTTCCTCCTTTTCTAGAGGAGAAGATCCTCTACACTCATCCTCTCTCCTCCTGCCTTGCCCTGGAATCACTTTTCTCTGAGGAGCCCTCATTCCTCCCCCGGGAAGTGGTATCTAGAAGCCAAAGCCAGGGTGCTGGGGGTGCTTGTTGCACTGGGGTATTGTTGCTCATCAGGACTTTCGGGGCACACGTTTGTATTTATCTAGATACATTAAAAAACATGTTTTATGTTTCCATACCAGTAGCTCCAATACCACATGGATCTTTTTAGCGTTCTTTCTCCCTTTCTATATTTAGAGCTCCTTTCCCAGACTCTCATCCTTACAATGTTTATTTGAAAAGTCCCTCTGTCTCCTGGAGAGAGGAACTTTCTGCCACCCTTTCCCACACCAGATGCTCTCTTACCCCACTGGGGCTTTAATACCCCATGCCAGGCCATTAAGCCCCACTCTTTCTCCTGCATATGAAGACCCTCCTCATCCTGCCTGGCTTCTAAGATGTGAGGCTCTCTTCCAAGTGATGCCCTTCCCAAGGGCATTTGGCCTCTGGCACTCCTTGCTGTCCACAGCGGTTCCTCCCACCCTTCTGTGGCAGCTTCCTGGGCCCTCACTAATGGTTTCGGACTGAATTTGGGGGGCAGGAAAGTAGAAGAGCTTTCAGCTGTTCTCCCCATGAGGGCACTTGCCAATGGTCCCCTTAACCATGGGATCAAATGTTCACATTTGGCCACTAGGAGACGATGTCATCATGCACTCTCAATGCAATGTGAAGTGCATATCCGTTCATAAGGTGGACTTGCCAA